GCTTAGAATTAGACGATAAGCTATATAAAGAAGTGGGCCAAAGAAGACATATGGGCTAGGGAGACCAAGATTGAGCATAGGAAGTGTAAAGCTAGACTAGCGTTAGCAGCCCTTTCGGCTCGGCCGCCGGGCGTAAATAAATTGTGTGTGTGTGTGTTTACGCCGGAGATGCTCGAACTGACGAAAAACACCTACCCCCAATTCGTAGAACATGTCGCACCTTGTTCAAGAGACAGGGAAAACAGGGGAAACGTGGAGAGCATCTACACTTGGGAATTCTGGTTGAGAAGTTGGGCGGGTATTTGTTCTCGGAAATTCTGGTCGAGAAGTTGGAGGAAAATCTGTTCTCGGAAATTCTGGTCCAGAGAAATTGATCCGTCCCACCTTTGGCCTTTCTATGAAGATGTCAGTGGAACGCGATCTATCTGGGGCGACTTTCAGCTGTTCATATTGCAGCTTATGGTGAAACACCCGGCCTTCACCGATACAACAAAGAGGCTGCGTCCGCCCTACAATTTTTCTACCAGGTTTCTGGATCTGGTGCGACAAAACAAGTCATACCTCGAACCCTGGGGCGTCATCGAAACGGCTGAGCTCAAGCGCCTAGCGGATATCGTAGGGAGTTCCCAAAGGGTACGTAAGTACCATCCAAAGACAACGTTCAGATACTCTGCAGCTGCTCTGGCGCTTCAATTCTTCAATTTATGTACAGAGAAGGTCTGTAATTCGGTTCGTAAGATCATTCTCATCGAGGACGAGATGTCAGTAGGGCAATCGAATACTCACGGTCGCGGCTTCATTTCACTCTGCCAGAAAAACAAAAACCTACACGTTGAACGCCGCGTGAACCTCTGGAAGACCGTATTTACACCCCATCCGTTCGATCAATATGACTATCTTAACGGCTGGTGCGATCGGGAAATTACCTCTATGCAAAATGACCGTCTCCAGGCCGCAACGGTCTCGCGGTCAATCGGGAAGTGGATGGCTGAGGCTTTGGCATTGCCTTCACTCGGAATGCCTGAAGGCTCATTTACTCTTGTCTTGGATGGAAACCCTGTACCCAAACACACCTCTAGGGTCTTCCGCATAGTGCAGCGAGACGCTGCTTGGCAAGCTGCGCTTGACCTATGTTATTCTCGAGGCCTAGTTTCGAAACCTTCTTCGCTGCAACGTCAGCGCATGAACTGCTTTATTTTTGAAGGATTTCCCGGTGTAATGCAGACACTTTCCACTACTAGCTCTCTCATCAGATGTAACTTCGACCTTGGTGTACCTTACGATGTCGAAGCTATAATTGAAAACTACCGTGATCTGGATTGGGATGGATGGAATCGCCAATGGAGGAACCATAGCCCGTCCGAATTCCAGACCGAACCACCGCTGCCCCCCATGGCACGAGCTTTGGTGGCTACGCGGTTTACCCAGGTAGTTGGTTTACTCGAGCTATCTGGCCTGAGCAACTTTTGCTTAGCCCTTCCGAGAAATGGAATCTTTGTTGGATTTGGTTTTTGTTGTTTTTCGCAATACCATACAGATATCGTTTCGTCAGTCTTTGCATTGTTTCCTATCTCCTCAAAAGAATTGACATCGTGCTGATTCAATGGCTCTCACCTAATATAGCATAGTTCATCGGGTTCCATTTAACTGTGCCAAAGATTTGTTGCATCACTAATACACCGGCAGCCAGATGCTCAGATCCCAGTGTCATGACCCGTTGCAAGTCAATCGAGAGATAGATTTCTGAGACGAATTAGTTCCATCACAACACCTGTGAATCTAGGTATGAAATCTACTATTTATGCAGTTTTTTTTTAAAAAAAAAAGCCCGAAGTATTGGCCGAATATGGTTCTTGATCCAGCCCATGAAGGCAAATTGGGTCTGCAGCCAGCATATGTCAGCACGAAGCGCTGGTACACATGCATCGCGATCCAAACGATCAACACCTTCAGCCTGAGACTTTCGAATATGATAACTTCGGTCTCTAAATCATGTGGCTTACGTTGAGATAGTCATCCAGTTATCCCATGAGCCTCAAGTTGCATGTTACAAGTATAATACATAAACAGATGACCTCCTTGCGTATTAGCACGTGCATTACTAACAAGTCGCGTCGCGTCCCACAGGTCGAACCACCAGATCTACGTATGGCTGCTTCTTCCCAGAACAAAGCGCCAAACCTCCTACATCAAACGCACAATGTGGTCTGAGGAGTTTCCAGGTTTCGAGCAAGTCAGTACTGACGGCAGCTCTCTCGGCAACGGAAAGAAGAAGGCTACCGCTGGTGTTGGTGTTTACTTCGGGCCTAACGACCCAAGGTGCGTAGGCATCAGCACATCTCAACGCATTATGCGCACTACATCATGCCTCACTACTGACTAGACGACGCGTAGGAACTATGGCGAACCATTGGGCCCAGGCCCCCAAACCAACCAGCGTGCTGAGCTCAAGGCCATCTTGAAGGCCTTGCACACGATACCCATCACACAAAATCTTCTCATTGAAACGGACTCGATATACGCTATTATGTGTGTGACAGAGTCATATTATAAATGGGAGTTGAAAAGTTGGAAGAAGGCGACCGGCTCTCCATTCAAAAATCTACAGTTGATCAAACCGAGCGTTCGCCAACTAGAGCAGCGCAGGGCGATGGGCAGCACAACGTATTTTCGTTGGGTCAAGGGTCATGCGAACAATCCAGGCAACGAAGCAGCTGACAAGCTGGCTGTAGCAGGAGCAAGGTACGCTTTCACGAGTATTCTATATCTCACCAGATCTAGCTCTCAACACATGTGACATAGGCGCGAATACATACGACGTTACGGCGAGCCACCCAAGGAGAAGGAGAAGGGGCCGCAATGTACTTTGCGCGAGGCCCCGTTCGGTTGGAAGGTGGTGCGGCACGCGGATGGAACCGAGACCCTCGAGCCGAATCCACAAGACGCGATAAATTACAAGAAAAGGGATCAGGCGGCGAAAGAAAGGGAAGCTGAGCGGATAAAAGTTTTCAAATCTAAACGCAGAAGAGGAGGAAGCGCAGCGCAACGTATGGCTATCAAAACCGCCAGAGCAGCAGAAGCAGCCAAAGCGGCCGAAGCAGCGGATACATTCCTCGCGGAAATGGACCCAGATTCGACTTCAGACGTTGCCGCACAAACTGCATAGCTGGTGAGAGATTTTATTAAATCGCCACGACTGACAGCAGAAGCCAATATCCACGAGGCCGACAAACCAAGAAGCGTCGAATGTCTTCCTCTCCATATATCACTCTTCCCCAACCAGCCGTCGATGCATTCGTATCAAGGTACAAGAGCCCGGCTCTGGCCTCGATACCGTTGCAAGTGCAGCTTCGCCCGCAAGTATATGCTAGTGTGCGATTCGGCCCCACAGCTTCAGGGCGATGGTACTACATTCGTGGTATATCCTCAATTCAGACCTAAGAGTCGGACTCGGCTTATTGGCGTGATGATTGAAGGACTCGAATACAACATGAAATAGGATACATCCCTGTGGACACATACAAAGCGGGGTCTTCCTTTTTGCTTCCGGGCTTGCCTTTCAGCGCCTCGAGTTTCGTCGGCAGAATCCATGCTTAGCTACAATAAACAAGATGATTTGATTTCGGTAGCTCTCGAATGCCACTTTTTGCTGTTAGCAGTATGTATAACATCAAAGCCCAGTCCAATCGACAAGTTGGGTGATTTAACTTGAAACGCAACCAATACATTTAAATTAAAAAGCGAAATCGCAATGCTGTTCTTGATCTAATCTATCCCATAGTTCTATGCCTCTAATAAGCTCTTGAGTTCCTTAACCAGCAGCCGATCCTCGGCATCCTTTGCCTGGACATTACCCATGGTACCTGCCGCATCCATGACCCTCCACAAATCTCTCAGCTCGCCATTCATATCAGCTCCATATACTAACCACCCGACACTAATCACGCTCATCTTCTTATTATCGCTCCACTCCTCCTCAGTACTTATGTTTTCGAGCAACGAAGCGAGAAGCTCCACCTGTTCGGACTCTTCGAGTTCCGTCTCGCAAGGCAGGGAATGTGAAGGGTTGGCGCTATACTTCTTCATCCGCACCTGGTGGTTGGAGGAAGTGATGTTCATCGCTAGATTGAGGGCCGAGGCTTTGAGCGCGGGATATTTCTCATCGAGAAGAGCGGTGGTCAGGATGGAAATGAGATTTGACGAAAGCGGTCGAGAGAGAAGGTGCGGTACGAAGAGTTGCGAACTGAAGAGGTTGCACGCTAAGTGTAGTGTGGTGAGCCGCAGGGGATATGGTGCGTTATCACCCAGTTTGTCAACATGGTCAAGTAGATGGTGTACTGTCGCTGGTGTACCCGTTGCACCTTTGTGCTCCTCTGCGAAAAAGCCGGCGACACGAGCGTCGGTAAGCGCTATCCTAAGCAAATCCAGCGCTGTAAAAAGGAGCTCAGTCGGGAGCACAGAGGTGCTTCGTCTCAAGAAATCCGCAAACTTTGGGAGTTCGGTCAAAGGTGCCTCAATCGCTCCGGACTTCTCGCGGGTTTGGATAAAAGTAACAATAGATGACACAGCGGGATCGTTTCCGGTATCTCCCATCTTCGCGACCAACTTCTCCAATGGCGGCACCTTTGTAAATCTGATAGGTCTCTGGCTCTGCCGCATGAGCAAAGGTGTGCTCTTGTCCAGATGTGGGTGTGGCGGAAATGCTGAATTGAGCAGCATCTCCACGTTGCTACGCAGCTGCCTGGGGTCGGCTCCACTCCACTCATCTTGTTGTTCTCCCTTCAGATATGTAATAAACGTTGGAGTCGCGCGTACGTTGGGATATCGGGTACTAATCGAGCTATCGGCGTGGCTAAAATCGATCTTGATGAACACACACTTCATCCCTGCTTCTGCTGCGAGCTGGTCGTATGGCTGATACACGAGCTTGCAAGGAGCGCACGTAGAGCTAGTGAAGAAGATGATGGCACAGCGGTCTTTGGCAAGGCCAAGTAAGCGATCTACGTCCCTGAGTGATGTGACATTGTTGACTTTGCCCGTGTTCATTTCTAGTTCAGTCATACTGCCAGAAGAAGCTTCTTTTACTATTCCATTCGATGCACTTGCACTTGAGGGTTGTACTTGACCCGCCTGGGGCGTAGGTGCCTGTACAATTGGTCGCATGGCGGCGTCAATCTGCGGTTTGAGCATTTGCCCGAAGGGCGTGTTGAGAACGGTTTGCGGGAGAGAGGTGATATGATCCGGTATTCCTTTACCAACAAGGAACATTGCAAAATCGTTTGAGAAGTTGTTGCAGTTATGTGCAAATAGATCGTATGACTAGAAGACATCAGCAATTGCTCATGACATAGTGTTTGGAGTTCACTTACTTCGGGTGTGTATATCTTTTTCAGAGATTCTAGGTACTCTAGAATCACCTCCATTGGAAGCGCAGTCTGTCCCAGCTTGATAACCTCCATCGGCCGGCCGTGGTGTGTCGCTCCCGCTCTACATGTCTGCACTCCTTGCCCGAAGTAGTATTCTATGCCGCCAAAGACGATAGACGTGTGGTATACAGCATCAATTTGTATTCCAAGAAACTGAAGAGACATACTCTTTGCCAGACCCTAAATCGGTCAATAACGTTGCTCGCTGAGGGGCTTCTATGAGAGCGCTATGTATCGGGGACTTACTTGAGATAGGTCATACACGTAAAGTTCTACGTCCATGATAGAGAATCGCACGTAGCCAGCTCTATCCGTTCCACAATACTACTCTGTTTTCTAGGAAGTATCTTTGATTTCACAGTAGAGTGCAAGATCAGCGCAAGCCTAGAATCTTTAAGCCTCACACGTTGGTGCGTCGATGTTGTGGGTCTTGTAGGCGGAAGCGGTGACGTAAAAGAACATTCCCGAAAGTCCCACGCGGGCGATCGCTACGCGCACCGCCGCATCTCTTATCGCCACATCGCGCTAGCACCTGACCGTGCTGTCGGCGAAAGCCGAATCGTGGGGACGGTCATAGCGCCTAATGCAACGACATGAGCCCTGCTTTACAAGAGAGATCTGGCCGGTATACTTAGTAGTAGATTGCCTTGGGATCTTCCGATGCCATTTTCCATGCCATTACTGGGTAGTCCGGTCTACATAAATCTTTTCGGTCAACCCACCTCGAAGCTAGTAGTTTGCGGGTGAGCAACGACTCGGGTCTTTCCACAGCGCATTGCTCGGAGACTAATGTCGCAAAGAAGAGCGGTGTATTAGTACGTGAAAAGTACCCTTGTAGATATCTTCCGGATACGGATGATTTAATTAATCCCATAGTGTGTGCTCAGGAGCATGAATACCGGAGCTAGTCCAAAATCTCAATCACCGGCTTTCCGCCGGCCATCATAATGGAGAGTCGAGGAAAGTCAACGCCGCTAATCATTTTTGCAATCGCATCATATATTTTCTCCCTAGTGATTGCAATAGAAGAGTGGTATTTTCTAATATCCATCACTAGTGTACAAATTCAACACAATGACTGTCTAGTCATCTATCATCTCGCTAAATACACTTCAACAATCCAGAGTAACGATTGCCGCGCTACTCCAAGGAACATCAACCCTGATCACACCATCTTTACTTGCTTTTACCTTCTCCCCACGAGTGACATTGTTCAGCCGAACAGGCTTTCCCTCATCCAGCTCGTAGTTGTAGCTGTAGCCATCCCAAGTAATGCCTGTGATTGCATCACTTCCATTTGCAATCAATCTTTGCACTTGGGCCTTGCCTTTGGAGCAACCAGGTAGCTTCAATTCGTATCCTTCGACAGGTCGCGGGAACGGAGTCGTGTAGTTATTGTCAGTTGTATTGTAAGTGTGCAGGTCCACAAGTAGGATGCGAGCCAAAGTGCTGTTGATGTAAGCCGCATACTGGGTAGAGAACTCAGAAGACGAGTCGAGGTGAGAGATGCTCAAATGGTTCGAGGGTAGTTCTCGATGCATGAAGGCTGCGATAGCCACGCTTCCATAATATGGCGGCTTCGTTCCTTTGGTTGTTCGGTTTGTTTCGATGGGCTGCCATGCCTGATAGCTTTGGATTTGCCGTCAGTTGGAGATTGAAAAACAAAGTGGTGCGAACAATGAACTTACCGATAATTGGTTCCTTGGTGCATATGTGAGCGGGATATGTTATGAGATGCGAGGTACAAATTCCAGTCAATGCCCCACAACGCCGCTCCAAAACTGTTGCTCAGACCCGGCCGTCCTTGTCTGGCGAGCGAATTGTGCTCACCCATGATAATGGGAATATCTGGAGATGGCGCATTGTCTAATTCTCTGATTCCTCTCGACAGGTTGAACTGAGTCTCTGCCTTTACTTTAACGTTCGTGTGGTTCATCAATGTGCCTTGTAGGGTGATTCCAGGAGAGGTAGACACGCCCATGTAGTTATGCAAAGCAACTATGCCTATGTCGTCATCCTTGTTGATACCTTCTCTCCATGCTTTCACAGCATTCAGAGTGGCTATGTCGACGGCTGTAGGGCCTGCGAAGCTCGGTCCCATGAACTTAACACCAGCGAGCTCCGGACATGCTACTTTAACGACATCTTTAATGGCCTTAGTTCCATTCAACCATTCAGACACGTAGTCAGCCTCGGTATAGTTGCGGGGTCGGTGGCGAGAAGGATTGAAGAGATCGGCCTCGTTACCATACTCCCAGTACAATAGATTGCCCCCGATTGCCTTGCAAGCATATGCAGCGGAATGAAAAGTGCTAGTTCTCTCGACGCTAGTGTTGGCGGCCATATTGAGACCATGAGCATACTTTATGCCCTGAGGCATAGTTTGGTAGGACTCAAAATAAGATGGGCCAAACGTGATGATGGTTGGGTAGTCGGTCGAGATTTCTGGTTGAATGATACCAATAATGTTTGTCTTCTGGGATTCATCGAAAACTGCCCAGTCTCTGAGTCCTCAGTTAGAGTAGTGTATTTCTGTCTGTAAAAAGAGCATATAATTACTGTGTATTTCCTCCTACACGAACATAAGGCATGGAACCTTGCAACTTGCCCAAGTTGCTCAAAAGGTTTCCTGTGAAGGCATTTGGATTAGATAGGTTACCTGACAGTAAAGTGTGAGTATTGGGCTTTAGCAGTGGGAGCTGTGATTCAAAATACCAGCAAAATCGGGCCATGATGAAAACTCAAATGAGAAAGAAACGAATGAATCCAGCGGAATGCCGGCATTGCGAGGGCTTGACTGTTGAATGGCAATCGATTTAGGTCTCGAGGGTATACGAGCAGCCTCTACTTCCACGAGCGTCACAAGGCATGACAGTAGTAAGGAACGATTATTGGTGAAGAACATTTTGCCTGCTGGATATGATGCTTGTGATACGGAATCATTCCCTGCCACTTATCAACGCCGTCGGCGATTGAATATTGACCGCATCGTGTCGCGGCTTTTGCATGACGCGTTACTTGTACCGTGACTTACTATACCCGGTCTCAACGATCTGCACGTGATGTGGGGAAAACAACAGGGGCAATGGCGAGCTGAAAGGCGGGGTAAAACTAGAAAAGGCATTTATCCGTGCTTGGCGCAAGCCAACTATCACTCAAACATAGAGGTTCTCCACTCGAGAAAGAAAGAAACCTTGGGGGCGGGGAAACACGAAGTTGGTGCGTTCGCGCCAGGGCCATAGCCAGCCCCCACATCCCGACTCTCGTTGCGGATCGTTACTTCGGCACCATGCTTCCTATTCTTGTTGAAGCTGCATAAGTGTTCGTCATACCGAGGTTGAATCCTTGTCTTTCGTGTAGGACGGCGTTTGATAGCAAGTATCGCTTAGATATTTTGCAAGAACTTGATTGCGCGTTATGCCAGCTGAGTTGCAGCCTGTGATGTCCAGTGGAGACGAAAGATGGTACTGATAACCTGAAATCAGTGATGAATGGCTCCTGACTGCGAGCAGCTAGGCATGCCAGTGCTCATCATGTTGCAGAAGCCCTAACTGATGTAAGAAGGAGAAGTTTAGGTTGCATTTTGCGCAGCATAGCTCGGGCGGATGATAGCAGAAAGTCTTTAAGCCAATTAGATCACGTTGTTCTCTTCGCAAAAGGGAAGCTGTCGAGAGCGGTTTTACGTATTATGCAGCCGAGGCTGCAAGAAGCGCACGATGCATTTATACTACGACGAAACCCGCCAGAGATCGTGTAAACACCAACTTTGTTACTTTGTGTCTCTTCACTGAACTCGGCCAACGTGGGACATTAAAAATTACCTAGGCATCTTTAGTAAGGCTAAGGGGGAAACATAGCAATGTCACTTTCCAATAAGATCGTCGCTGCATCTAGCTGACAATCAAGTATCTTGCAGTTGCCGCCTCTGCGAACCTCACGCAAGCAATATATAGCCACCTCATTGTGTAACCACACCTACGAATGCCCAGTCCTGATGCAGTCATGCGTTCCCCGCGCAGTTACATACGCCACCCTATCTACAGCACAATTGTCTTCGTCTGGCCCAAAATTCTGCGCATAACAATAGAACGAAGATAAAGTCTCTCGAGCTAACTCCAGAGGCTCCTCTGACTGCTCGAGCGCCGTATAGTGAGCAGATGGCGGAAAGGATGCTCTGTCGCAGATGTCCGTTACGAGCGGCTCTTGGGAAAGAGCTTACCGATCAAGCATGGTTTTCATGGATCAATGCTGTGGAGACATGCTCAACATATCATTTCTGGCTCTATCGTTGGTTGTTGCATCTGCACCATGTGTTTATCGAAGTGCTTGTGCAGCTCGAAAAAGGTGCATCGTGTGAACGCTCTGCAGCAATTTGCCCTTCTGAGGCAAATGGGCGATAACGGACAAGAAGATCTTTGGCAGATCTCGCTCCTTGAAAGTCGTATATCCAGTGGCTGTTCTGCCCCTCCTAATCTTCTTTTTTTCCTTTGGATAACTTCTCATCGTATCTTTCGTACCACTTGTTTGAACGAGAAAACTGCAACTTCACCATGTCACTGCTCTCTACTCCAAATATCGGTGTCGCCTTTGGCATTGCCGCGCTCTTTTTCGTGATCCGCTATCTGCTGGTCAAGAGACATCAGCTGCCTCTTCCTCCAGGCCCTAAAGGCCTCCCAATCCTGGGTAACATCAGGGATATGCCCAAGATCGACGACGTCGAATGGATGCATTGGGCCAAACACAAAGACATCTATGGCCCGATTAGCTCCGTCTCTGTTCTCGGCCAAACGTTTATAATTGTCAATGATGCAGAAATCGCACTGAAGCTCTTGAAGGACCGCGCACCAAACTACTCTGCAAGGCCGAAACAGGTCTTTAGTGGTGAGATGTACATCTAACCGAATCCGAAATGATGTTCTTTCACAGAAGTTAATACAAACAGGGTGGGCTGGAAGAGTATGCTGGCCATGCTGCAGCCTGGTGCGGAATTTAGACAGCAACGTCGCAACCTTGCTAAGATTGCCGGATCGGCTACTTCCATTGCAGCGTTTGATCGCATACAAAATGAAGAGGCAGCACACTTTTTGCTAAATCTTTTAGACAGCCCCGAGCGTTTGTTCGATCATATCAGAAAAGAAGCTGGCGCGGTGATATTGAGGATCACTTATGGGTACACGCCCAACGCGCGAGGTCCGGATCCACTGGTCGATATGGCGGAGCGAGCAATGACCGACGTTGGAATTGCAGCTGTGCCAGGAAAGTGGACCGTTGATTTACTACCGTTCTGTAAGCGAAAAACACGAGCTGTTGGAATACATGCTCAGTTCTGACACTGCCCCAGTGCGCTACCTGCCCGATTGGTGTCCAGGTACCGGCTTCAAAGACGTAGCCCGAGAAATGAGAAAGAATTTCTTCCGCAGTGCTGAACAGCCTTATAATTGGGTCAAGGAACAGATGCGAAACAAAAAAGCAAAGACATCCTTCATGTCCCAGGCCATTGAGTTTCTGGGCACAGAGGCTTCGATGGAGAATGCTCATAGATGGTCCGCAGTCTCCATGTACTTGGGTGGCTCTGACACAACGGTATCGGCCATTATGGACTTCTTTCTAGCCATGGCTGTCTTTCCGGATGTACAGAAGAAGGCACAGGAAGAACTTGACCGCGTGATTGGTAGTGATCGATTGCCGACTACAAGCGACAAAGCGAGCTTACCGTATATTGAAGCCATGATCAAGGAGACCCATCGTTGGCACCCTGTTGTACCGATGGCTTTGCCCCATTGCCCCTTAGAAGAAGATAGCATCAACGGGTATAGGATTCCAAAAGGGGCTCTCGTTATGACTAATTTATGGTATGCCCCCCCCCCCATTTCTTACTTTATACTGGTTTTTCTCGTATCTTATACATCGTAGGTGGTTCACCCACGACCCTGCCATATACGCAGATCCAATGACCTTCCGGCCCGAACGCTTCATAGCAACTCCAACCCATACCGCCGAACCCGATCCGCGAAACTGGACATTCGGTTTTGGCCGTCGTATCTGCCCCGGTCGTTATATCGCCGACAATGCACTGTTCACAACCATCGCACAATCGCTAGCAGTATTCAACATTGAGAAGCTCGTTGAGAATGGGAGGACCGTAGAGCCCAGAATTGAGTTCGAGCCTGGAATTATTAGTCATCCAGTTCCATATCGTCTTAGCATTAAACCAAGGAACGAGAAGTGCCGTAAGTTGATTGAAAAAGCTGAACAACTCTACCCGTGGGGTGAAAGCGATGCACAGACACTGGAGAGTATGAACTAGGAAAAGGTCATGGCATGTACGCGTTGCAAACTGGAGACGAGCGATAGTAAGAAGTTGTATTTATTTATTGCGTTATATAAGTGAAGTGATGGCGTTTGAGGTTGATAATGAACATATTCATTCGAGGTCTTGCATCAAGTTTAGTATAAGATTTGGGACGGGGCTTACTGCATAAAGATAGCCACCATTCCCAGTCAATGTAACATCATGTGCGGATCAACAGTAGATGCGCATTTATATAGTTAGTGGATGTAAGAAAAGTCACATTGAGACGAAAATATGTTTGCCCGATTCTAGACCCCAAGCCAATTTATCGGCTTGACGTATCGCGAATCCTAGCCACGTCGTCAAAATATAAGACGAGGAACTGGTTTTGATCTTGCTTCCCTGTCCACACTTGCCAACGGAAGGATAACGAGTTGGCAAGCTCTAGCATAATTTGGAAGCGGAATGAGATGACCGAAGTCAAATCAAAGACTCTTTACTCATGGTCTGCCACACTCGTCTTGAGCATTGCAGGACACCTGAGATAAGAGTATAACCCTCAAAAGCCTATGGCCTGATCGTCCGCCTGTCAATGTAAAGCTTTTCCGTTGTGGACTCCTATGGCAGAAAGGCTGTACATTGACGAGAGAACGTTCAGTCTATAAACTCCATGGGAGGCCCCACGATAGAGAGTGTACAATATGCAAAGACATTGTACTATAAACCAAACCACAGGCAGACACTTGGCCCGCACAGTGGTCAGAGCTGATCTATGCCCATTTTACCAGAATTTCTTCTTTGCAAAAAGAGCTTCTCGCAACGTGGCTGACGCCAGATTGCGAAAGGTGTCAGAACCTTGAGCGATTGTGACAGATGTGGTTACATCCGTGTTCACTGATCGCTCTAAGAATCATTAGCCATTGGATCAGCTTGATCGCAAGGTTTGTGATTCTTTTCCCGTATTCCGGCCTCTGAGCAAAGTCGGAGGTCGCCGCTGCGGGAGTGAGAAAACCGAACGCCTAATGGGTTGCCGGTTCCTCGGCGGTTGGGTGCAGTCCAAGTACGCTCAAAACAAAATATTATGCCAAGGGCTATTCGGCCTGTCTAAGCCGCCCGAAAGCGACTTCATATCTGTTGGCTTCTTGCTCCGAGTTTGGGTTGTGGCGTACCAGACCCACCCTCCGGCGCCGGGAGTAGGAATCCCCTTGCTTGAGGTACATGGCACTGCGTTATGTTTTCTTTGTACTTTACGTGTCCGTATGGTTCCAGGTGGGTCATGGTTCCAGACGTGCCTTGGTTCCAGATGAGGGCCGGGTAGCGTTGACACGATTGCATTGCGAACAAGACATTTGGTTGGTGTGCAATATGGTCACTCCAGACTCTTTGCGGAACGTCTCCCGAATCTCATGCTCTACCGTGAACGGAAGACTAGCCAGGCCTAACCGCTCAAGGCTGAAACTTGTAGAGGTTCGCATCATGCATCTGAGGGCCAGGCCAGTGAACAATGCTACACCTTATCGAAGTGGAATCCGTTGGTCTTCAGACCATGCGTCCCGGACGCAATAAATGGCGCATCAACGGGACGAAGCGGATAGGATCGATATGCGGAGGTCAAGCTTCGTAGGTAGATATGATCGAAAGTCTTGTCAATGAATAAAGCAAAAGAAAGACGGTGCCTCCGAAGGCTAGATAAACGGAGCTGTGCGGAAGTAGGAGGGACGTAGGTGCGTCGTGAGATTTTATATCTTCATGTAGATGTGGGTGGCTGGGCGAAGTGGCCGGAAGCGAGGATTTTGGCGTCGGTCCGTGCAGTCGCGTCATCGAAGTGATCAGAGCCTATGTTCACACTGACCATACAACGAGACTCTCCCAACTACACAGCGCACAATGGTAAGATGGGCACGACCGACCTTGTAATATCTTATGCGCGTGCTGACTAATCCAAAGCCACCAAAGCGCCGCGGACCGCCGTGCAAGGCGCCTATCAAACGTCCATCGAAGCTCGCCAAAGAAAACGGCCTGACTGCAGAGCAAGAAGCTGAAATACGCGAGGCATTTGGCCTGTTTGCCGTCTCGCATCCTGGCCATGAAGATTCAAAAGAAGGCGTACTAAAGAGAGGCGATGTGCGAAGGTGCCTGATGTAGGTGGCACTTGAATGCGCCTGAGTGCATTGCGCACTGACTGACGACGGTGAAGTTCTCTCAACCTCGCACCGGACAAATCGGAAGTGCCATCCATTCTCTCCACAATCGATCCCCTCAACACCGGCTTCGTTGGTTTCGTGCCTTTCTTGTCATATGCCGCGATCGCAATACATTCCAAGGACCAAGGTTCTGAAGAGGACGACGAGGAAGATGAATACCGAGAGGAGAGCAATGCAGAGGAGGTCAAAGCAGCATATCGGCTGTTTACGCACGGTACTGCGGGACCCATTACACTGGCGCACCTTAGAAGGGTTTCCAAGGAGTTGAGAGAGGACGTGCCAGATGATGTCTTGAAGGATATGATTCTTGAGGCGAATGGCGGGGTCAAGGGTCAGAGTAAGGACGTTGGTGGTGTCAGTCTTGAGGATTTTGAAAGTGTGATGAAGAGAGCCGGGCTGTCTTTTGGATGAGAGACGATAATGCAAGGAACGAAAACACGATGGCATGAAGGTTTACATGCAGGCACAGATACGTCGAGGAAAGTCTCGAGCTGCGATCTTCCAAAGCCTCGGATGTACGAAAGACAGCCGGTGGAAGCCTGAAATGTTGCGCGCATCCTGTGCTGCGAGGCACATGTCGGTATTGGGCACGACGGCCCATGATGCAATACCACGCTCGCGAAATATAGACCAGAGTTGTCTCATCAACGCAAAGCAAATTTCAGGGGGAAGGGAGGTGAGTGTTGGATAGAAAGAGTGTAGCCATTGACGCAACAACAATGCTGAAAGCAAGGAGAAAAGGCGCAAATAGAGTTTGGACGCTACAATCTTGTATAGGCAAAGAAGTTGGTTCTTTGCATGTTGAACCATAGCCAATTAAAGTTGAAATCTGCATCTGCTACTATGTATAGCATTGGCGAATGGGCTCGGTGCCGACAGAAGATGAGGCGGTACGAGTGGGTTCCAAAGTTCTCAAGTCCCACAGGTGGCTGCCAAGATGCAGGGACCTTACTTACGTAGCAGGCACACGAAGACGGATGCAACGGTGCTGCGTATGTAACAGCAACCGCACTCGATTACACATCCCCTCCCCACTTGTAGTACTGCTGTGGGCGGAGACTCCTTTTGTACGATTGTCTCCTTGATGTGTTAACGTGTCTTCGTCGCCACACCACACTAAACCATCCCGGGAGCGCAGTGCAGCTGAATGCCCGCGCCCTGACCTGCAGTCCCTTTTCTACCCTCGCACCTCTCCCAGTTCCATGTCCAGCGGCATTGAAGTCAGCGGAAGCCAACGACGACCCGGCATCTGGTCCTACTTTAGTTTTTCTGGCCCACGCCGTCGTGTCTCCGTCTCCCTGCCTCGCAACTCGGATCCCAATCGCGGCGTCGACGACGACGACGACCCTCACGCAAAAGCCGCTAGACACTCCCGCAATCGCTCATCCTACTCGGACGCATTCATGAACGAACACAAGGGCGGCGCCGTCATGAACCAAGGGCAGCGGCTACGCTACCTCAAGACGGGGGGTGTTATTGCCTTTATACTCCTTGTGCTGTACTTTATTGCGCCCAGCGACCGCATCCCAAGACCAGGCGGTATGTACATGACCAGCTACTCCGCAATTCACGAGCTAACAACTGCAGCGGTATCGCCTGCCCCCGGAGGCAATGCAGCAACCGGTGAAGCAACGGCCGAGTGCACCAAGTCCTATCACAAGGACAAGCCCCTCTACCAGTATGCCCTCATGATCGACGCCGGCAGCACTGGCTCGCGTATCCACGTTTACAAGTTCAACAACTGCGGCCCCAGCCCCGAGCTGGAGAAGGAGGATTTCAAAATGACACCCAAGAAGGAGGGAGGATCCGGTCTGTCAGCCTATGCGGATGATGCAGAGGCTGCTGCACGGAGTCTTGATGTCCTCATGGAAGTTGCTCTCAAGAGCGTGCCCAAGGAATACCAATCTTGCACTCCTGTTGCTGTAAAAGCAACTGCCGGTCTCCGCAAGCTTGGCGAACAGAAGAGCAATGACATTCTGGCTGCTGTGCGTCGTCATCTGGAAAACGACTTTCCCTTCCCGGTTGTGTCTGAAGAAAAGAGAGGCGTCGAAGTCATGCCTGGCGAGATGGAGGGCGTATACGCATGGATCACCGTCAACTATCTTCTCGGTAAGATTGGAGGTCCCGACAAGAACCCTACGGCTGCAGTCCTTGATCTGGGCGGTGGTTCCACACAAATCATCTTCGAGCCTACATTCCCCGATACACCCCGAGGCGGACTGCCAACGAAGCTCGCAGAGGGCGACCACAAGTACGAACTCAGCTTTGGCAACCGCAACTTTGACCTATACCAGCATTCGTACCTTGGCTACGGCTTGATGGAAGCCCGCAACAACCTGCACAGCACCCTTCTCGCGAGCCTCCACGACACGCACAAGGACAACCGCGAATACCTCAAGCAGCCCATTGTCAACCCTTGCATCCCTCCTGGCATGTCGCGCGAGATTGAAGTCCACATGCCCAAGGACCACCCATTGGGCGACTCGCTCACGGTCAACATGACCGGTCCCTCTACCTCTGCGCCAACCCAGTGCCGCGGGTTGGCAGAAAAGACTCTGCACAAAGACGACGAATGCGCCATCGCACCCTGTGCCTTCCGCGGCGTCCACCAGCCGCCCTTTGCCCAAACCTTTGCCACAGAAGCCGTATACCTCCTCTCGTACTTTTACGACCGCACACAGGAGCTCGGCATGCCCGAGTCGTTTACCCTCCGCGAGCTCCAGGACCTCGCGGATAAAGTGTGCAGCGGCGAAAAGGGCTGGGATGTCTTCTCTGCTGTGCCCCAGGCCCTCGACGAGCTCAAGGGCCGTCCCGAATGGTGTCTCGATCTCAACTTCCAGTTTGAGCTCCTCAGGAGTGGGTACGGTATGCCTATTGACCGTGAAGTCAAGATTGCGAAGAAGATCAAGGGGAATGAGCTGGGTTGGTGTCTGGGTGCTAGGTAAGGACATTCCTTTTGCTCTTGATGATTAGATGTTCGGGACGAGAAACTAACATGTGTAATAGTCTTCCGTTGCTCGAGGCGAACTCTGGTTGGCAGTGTAAGATTAAGCAGGTGCAGTAGAGGATGAGGCGTGGACAAAGTCTTAATATAGAAGGCGCACTTGAGATAGTACTAGTGATGAACTTTCGGTTTATCCTCTTTTTTCCCTCTTCCCCCGCTACTAAAGCACAAATTTCATGGAAGGGGGGGGAACAGGGGGAGATGTGGGTTTAGGCGTTTCTTCACTTTTTTTTGGCTCAACAAAAGGGGAGGGTTTGGAAGGGAAACGAGGAAAAGATTTTAATCATTTACCACACATTTGTGGATTATCACAAGGAAGGAGGTTGGGTAGGGGGGAAGGAAATTACGAATTGGTCATTTTACTTATAGACTGTTTTTAGATTGAAAGAAAAATGAAGTTCATTTTTTTTCCTTTCATCGTGGGTCTGATAATGATGTAGACACCAGGTCGCTGTCGTACAGGTTAATTAAAGCTATGTACATATATATGCGCATGACATATCCGAGTCTACGGTTCTAGTGGTCGTTTCGTCTAGAAACAAGGGAAAAGAAAAGAAGACAAGAAGAGAAGAAAATTAAAAAAAACGGAACATTTACATCCCTCTACCACAGCTACCCTTAATCAAAACGACCCAATATTGCCCTTTGTATACATAGTCTGCCTCCTCTTTGCGCGATGCTGATGTCCCTCAACCCCATGCCGCCCCATGCCCATTCCATCCCCCAACATGCCATTCATGCCGGCCCTAGCCTTCCTCACTGCCCTACGCTTGGCCTCTCTCCGCTTCAACTTGCCACTCCAATGCTTGAACTTGCGAATAATACGATCAGCCATAAGCACCAGCAGGGTAGCAAACATGACGGGTATGGCAATGATCCAGAAAAAGGCGTCGGAATGATGCTGGACGCCGTTGAAGCGGGCGAAGTTCTGGCCAAAGTAACCGACGAGGAAGGTGAGGGGTAAGAAGAAGATGGTTGTTGCGGTGAGGATTTTCATGGATTCGTTTTGGTAGGCGCCCATCATGTTGAAGATGAGGTCGATGAGGTTGTCGGCTGCGCGGCGCATCTGGTCGAGGGATGCGGTGATCATGATGCAGTGGTCTTCGACGTCGCCGAGGTACGTGTGGGCAAGGGGGCTGATGTTGATGGATGTCATGGTTTTGCGCGTGGCGAGATTAGAGTTTGTGTGGGCGAGCATGGATTGCGTCATGGGGTCTGCTTTGTGGTCGCGCAGCGAGTTGATGAGCGAGACAATGGGCTGGATGGTGTTGCGCAGGATGGAGAGCTCGGAGGTGAGGAGGTAGAGAAGTTGGCTGTGGTGCAGCTCAGGCTCCTCGAGAACGTCGAGTTCCAGTTCGCCCATGGCGTCCTCGTAGGCGGCTACGACGGGGATGGCTAAATCAACAATGGCGTCGATGATGGCTTGCACAACCATGCTGCTGTCTTGGCTGCGACGGAGAATTGTGTCTTCGGTGCGGAGACGCTTCAGGATCATGTCTTCGACATCGTCGGCTGAGTGCTCGAAGAAGGAAATGACCGAGTTGTCGGCGAGCAAGAAGATGCTGACCTGCTCGACACTGACAGTCAGGTGCTTTTCTGTGAGCGCCGAGTGTTGTTCCAGATAGACTATGCGGTCAAGGTTGTATCCGCCACGGTAGCGCTGGAGGGTACGGACTGCAGTCGTTGCTGGAGGCGTGGCTGTCCTAAGCCTTTCAAGAGGCGTGCCGTCAAGCTGCTTCTCTATACCATCCAAGGCGTGTAGCATGTCGTCCTTTTTCGACTTTCTCCCGTCATTGTTTCCCGAAAAGAACATCCTCTTTGCCCGTTTGAACAAGGACGGCTTACGGTTCTTCTTTTTCTTATGGTAATGACTGGAATGACGTGAGCGGGAGCGTGACCGAGAAGCCTCGTAACGTCGGTCGGCGTCATCCAAGTCCGAGTCGGAATCGCTTTCCGAGTCTTCGTCTACGGGGGTGCGGACGAGCTTGGAGAGGGTCAAGAGCATAAAGGCCTGGTCCGAGTACCAATCGACTTTTGTCCTACTCTGTGGGCTCATCAAGTCCTCAATAGCCAGGCGATGCAGCTGCTTGTGGTTTCCCAGGGTGCGGATTACATCCCAGCTCAAGCCGTTGACATTGATCCATCGCGAAGTGACCCAATCCTCCTTTGGATGTTTTAGGAATTCCTCGAGTGTGCCATTGTCAAGCTCGTGGCACTCGACCCTCTGGTCGGAAAAGTCGACTACGGTGATTTGACAGGGGGCGTACAAATGGTGGTAATTTGCAGCCTCGTTGTCGTTTTTTGTGTCGACACCAGGCTCGGCGCCAGGCTCCTGGCGGTGGTACTGGCGGGTGGGGGATTGGTAGTGCTTGACGGTGTGAGATCTGGTGATTCGGCGGCGCAGTGTCGAGTCTACAGAACCGCGGTCCGGGGAGAGGAGGGTATCGGGGTTGGTAGCGGCAGCGCTGGTGGCGGTGGTTGCAGTGGCCGAGCGGCCGCGACTTCTTTGTTCTCCATTGAGCTGGGTGTCGAGGGTCAATTGCGGAGGGGCGGCTGAGTCCGAGGCAGCGCGCTCGGGGTCGGTGGGCGGCGGAGGGACAGAGGCAAAGTCCTGGACCCGCGTGTCGTGGGGAGAGGCCGACATGACAGGGCGGATGGAGTCAATGGACGGAGAAAAGCGCGTGTTTGACGGGGCTTGGCTTGGCTGCTTACGGGGTTGGGTAAAGGGTCAAGCAGCTAGGTGTAGATTCGGGGCGTCGATATTGTCTATTCAGTCGTTGGCGAATACGGGATGGCAGCGGGCGGACGGACACGCTGCGAACAGTCCGCCCATGGAGGCTACGAGGTTGTGAGTGAGCATGCTGTCTTAGCTGGTGCAGGGTTTCACCATGCCATGTCTCGCCATAGACGCAACGATGAGCAGCGGGCAGAGCAGTAGGCCTGCCGCGTATGTACATACGCTGACCAATCAAAGGGGGCATCACTGTCAGCGGGCAGCAAGAGAACAGCGACATGTACGCATAATTATCGTGTAGTAGTAGTCATAGTGATAGCATGCACCCGGCCGAAAACCAACGTGTGCTGGCATCAATGCAGCAAGCCGCTCAGCCGGAGAAAAAAAACACACGTCTTAGGCGCGCCACCTGTGTGGCGCGAAGGGGGGAGGGGGGAGCATTGGGCAGAGGCGATTTGCAGAGGAGCAAATAGGGCGATTAGTGAGATGATTTGCAGGCGACATTTGGCAGCTGCGACGGGAGGTGTTGGCGATAGATTTGGGCGCGAGCGGGCAGGCGTGACGCATGAAATTAGCGGTTCGAGACTGCCCTTCTCGGCCGGCGGTGCCAATGCTTGTGCTTGACCGTGACAGCGACTAGCAGCAGCGAGGGCAAGTGCGAGGCCAAGTGCAAGGCCACGCCTTCCCTCCCCGAACCGCCTCTTGCCTCCCCCATCCACCCACCAGCGCCTGCCAGCCCAGCCTCAGCCAGCGTTCCATGGCATAGCACGCACCCACGCCCACGCCCACCACCCTACACTACACTACACTACACTACACCACACCACACCACACCACACCACACCACACTACTGCCAACCACCCATACACACATACATACACACTGCAGCCTTACCGCGATCCACATCCACATACATACATACGCATACATACATAGACACTTCCCCCTCGCCTCTGCACGCTGCCCATCCCATCCCTCTGTCCCCCCCTCCCCCCCCCAGCCAGCCAGCCTGTCGCGTGGCCCGTCGCCGGCAGCGCCAGTGTGTGCGTGTGAGTGAGAGCGTGAGCGAGAGGGCTCTTGCCTCGACCCACCCCCCCAGCCCGGAGCACTCAATCCATCTCACACATCCCGGCACCCCTAGCAGCAAGCAAACAAGCCTCATCTCCCGCCGCAAGCTGCCCACTCTCCTTTTCGCCCACACTCTCTCTCCATCACCGCATCCCCATCAGTCCCGGCTGCTGTTCCCACCGTCAGCTCGTCGGGCTCTCGTGCTCCTTCTCACTCCCTCGCCGCTCACCATATGCGACACTAGCCCCCAATCCGCTAAACACCACCCTACCCCCAGCGTCCACTCACCCGCCACGCCCACCAAGCGCCACTGCAAAGACGCCCGCCATGCGCGAAGTCAACTTCAGCATCCCGAATGCCAACAAGGCCTCGGTCGGCATCACCACGGCCCTCTATGACCGCCGCGCCCTCGACTGCACATCGACCCTGCCGCTCATCAACTCGCTCAACCACCTCGCCTACCTCACCACATCGTCGGCCCGCATACGCGACATCCTGACCGTCGATGGCGGCATCGAACGCCTGATATGCATCCTCAAAGAAGGCCGGAGCAAGGACATGATGGACATGTGGAAATGGAACCTCGCCTTCCAGTGCATATTCAACATCGGCGTACGCGGCTCCGAGAGCGTCAGGACGCGTGTTGTCGAGGCCGACATGGTGCCTGTCATTGCCTCGATTCTCGACAACTACATCAAGGTCGTCGACAAGATGCGGGCTAGAGCAGAGGCCGAGATGCACAAGTCGTCGCGCCTGGGAACCTCGAGCCGCCACCACTCATCACGCACCGCCGAAGCTGCCTCCAGCTCTGCCCACCGAACCGACCGATCACGACGCATCATTCCCCCTCCCATCGAAATCCCCAGGCCCCTCGACGCACCCCTGGCCGAGACGACACCCGTCCCTACCTTCTCACTAAGCTCACCACCAGAGCGCACCACTTTTGCTCGTGGCCGGCCCCCTCACCACCATCACCACCGCAGCCATGAGAGCCGCGCACAGCTGTTTGGCGCTCCCGCCAACAACACACGCAACCTTACCCAGCCCTTGGTTACTGCCCTGCCTTCCATGGACACAGCACCCGACGCCTTCACCCTACGCCCCGTGCGAGATGCCGACCGTCTCCCTTCGATGCTTCCCGCTTTGCAAGGGGAGATGACCTCCCAGCCAGAGTCACCTACCACGCCAAGTGCCCCGCAGGCACGCCAAACGAGCCCAAGAGCGGGGCTGGCCAGAACCCGTCGCCGCCCATCTATTCGACATCAATTATCCGTTTCTGGCGAGTCGGATCTCGAGGCGCCGCAAGACGACATGTCGGCAGAAGCTCCCACCGCCGCGGGCCCGGCTGTAAATGAACCAATCGTAGGCATTCAAAACAACGAGATTAACATGGCCGACATTGTTGGCAATGCAGAGATGCTCGATGCAGGCAACACTCCCGTTCCCATTGCGGCACCTTCCGAGGGCACCGACGAAAACAACGAAACCTTCAACATCACCCACCGCCCAGCGCTCGATGGCAGCATCATCAACCCCACAAACACCCCGCCCAACAACCCCATTACCGGCTTCTCTCCTCTGCCCCCGACCATCAACGTTGTAAACACCAACCCCCCGCCACCATGGTACCCACGCTATGCCCAGGAACGCAATGCCTCGGCTAGTGTGTTGGCTGCCATGCCCCGTGACGAGGATGTCCTCATGTCTCTGCAGCTTCTGGCCTACGTATCAAAGTACTGCAATCTGCGATCCTACTTCCAAAACTCTCATCTGGTGCCCAAGCTCAAGATTGGTATTGAACTTTTGGATGGCGAGGCGTCTACTCCAAAGGCTGCTGAAGAGGAAGAGGAAGAGCTCGAAGAGTACGAACTCCCCGACGACTTCAACATCTTCCCTCTTGTCGAGCAATTCACTGTCCGTCACCACACATCAGACATGCAGTACTGGGCCAGTGTTGTTATGCGCAACCTCTGCCGGAAAGACGACTCCCGTGGAGGCATCCGGCAATGTGCATACTACCAATGCGGACGCTGGGAAGAGTACACGCGCCAGTTTGCAAAGTGCCGCCGCTGCCGAAGGACAAAATACTGCAGCAAAGAGTGCCAGAAGAGCGCGTGGGTCTTCCACCGCCACTGGTGTGTGGCCGCTACCTAGGATGTGCGGATCATACCTATTCTTTAATTGTTGTTTTTTCTTCTCTTTTGCAAATCATCCATCATCATCGTCATCATCATCATCGTTATCAACATCATCATCATCACCGCCAGTGAGATTGTTCATCATCTCCTGGCTGCATATCGCATGGCGCTGGGCAAACTTCTTTCGTTTTTCCCCGAGGGTTTCTTTTGTCATAATCTTCTTTTTTTCTTTATCTTCTCTTGTTCAAAGGGGTGCAAATTAATTAATGAGCGACACGATTACTGGATACCACACAAACAAGTTTTACACACACACAACACTAGTACCAAAATCAACTACTAGTCAGTCAGAATGCTTCTTGTTCTTGTTCTTCTGCTTCTTCTCTCGGGACAGCTATTCAAAAAGGGGAAATCTAAGGGGGGAAGTTGGCAAGCAAAGTGCGCAAAGACTGTTCTGAAGTAAAGGCCTGCAAAGGCGATGAGCAGAGTGAGGAGGGAAAGAGAGAGAGAGAGAGAGAGAGAGATCACTATACCATTTCGTTATTGTTTTTTATTTGGAGCGCAGCATTGTTCGCATTTGGTAAAACCGGAGTAGTAAAGGGTTTCCGGCGTAGTCAGTAGTGTCTGTGTGTTTATTCTGGTGCAATTGAAATGCTATGCATTTGGACTTGTCTTTCTTTATTGGTCTGTCTGTTTGACCGTCTGCCTGTCTGCTGGGTCAGATTCTATTCGTGTTGGTGATGTTCTTTTTTTAAAAAAAAATCCCAAGTCTTTGTTGATATGTAATCCTATTCACTTATCGTACATACGTATAGATGATGTTGAATTCGAGTAGTCTGTTCATTTGTCACCATTCAAGACCAGTTTGATTCGTGATTTCTTCTATTCTTTTACTTACAGCACCAGTTCACTATCCCTCCATGTACTTTTAAGAAGAAAGAAAAAAACACATGTTTCTATATTCTCCCCTCACACAATCGTAACCACCACTCGCTCCCACTTCTCAGATACCACTCTCTTCCCCTTCCACCTCTCAGCAACATCCTCAATATTTCCCGCATCAACCACCACACCTCGAACGTTAATCTTCAACTTCCACACACCTACCCTCCTCCATGTCCCATTGACCGGCCCAGGAACCAGCATCAACCCCGCAAGCCGCCGCTGGATATTCTTCGCACCCGCCGTCCGCACAACCTGGACTTCAGACAGTAACGCATAGACCGCATTACGCGGCAGCGACGCCCGACCAGCAGGGTCATCAGGATAATATTCCAGCTCTGGATCCCAGCGGAAATGGCGGTCCGCAGGTTCTGTGCTGTTGCTGCTACTCGCGATAGCTTGCATTCGCGCTGTCAGATCAGCCGGCCAGTTGGATTCAACAGAAAAAACGCTCGTCTCGAGGGTTATCTGCGCGCTGGAGAACTCATGGGCTGCGGTGTCGGGGGCGTGGCGTGCGGCGTGGCCGGGGAACTGGAATCCCCGGGGTTTGGCCCAAAAGATGTCATGCCATGCGACAAGATGTGGTGAGTTGAGTGCTTTGGAGCGGACGAAAAGCGAGTCGTCAGCTAAGAGGAAGGAGACCTGGTAGAATTTGTACATGGGAATGGAGAACCAGGACCAGCTGGGTGTGTCGGGTGGTGGCATGGGCGCCGTTTTACTCCCTGCTTCGGACTCTGCGGATTTGTCTCGTATTATCTCGGGGGTCCATACAAGATCTGGCACTGGATTGCCGTTGGGAATTTGGTTCTCGATGCGGACGAGCCATGAGGGTTTCTTCTCTACGTACCAGAGTAGCGCAGCGGGAAGGATCTCGTTCCACAGTCCGGCGAGGTATGTCAGACGGCCTAGATTAGAAAACGCGCGAGCGATGCCTGCAAATGCCACGATGCGGTCCTTTTCAAACGAGAGATTCCGACTGCGGTACTCGTTGACGATGTTTTGCCAATCGGTCAGGAAGGAGATGACGGCCGGGTGGGAAAGGCTTATCGCACTTGCGGCATGAATTTCATGGATACTATCTGGAAAGTATCTGGACTTCCCTCGATCTTTTCCTCGCTTAGGGTCTACGACCGTTGTAGGTGATGTGGCCGGTACGGGCGCAGCAATAGGTCCTAGCAACTCGTCGTAGAAGTGGTACGAGCATTGCCACATGAGGTTCTTGTGCCCAAGTAGCAGTGTACGCGGACTCAGGAGGTATTCCTGGAATGTCCAGGCACGATGGAAGAGTGGCCAGGAACGCTGAACAAGCCAGTCTCGGTGTTTCCCGTAGTTGTCAATCTCCTTGCGGAACTCGTTTGTCGTGTCTTCATGCATGTATATACCTGGTTTGGAAGGGGTAGCAGCGCGTAATACACATGGGCTCCATGTTCGGGGGTCGCTACGTTGGCTGGGCTTCGCTGGGGAATGAGGCGGGAAAAGAAAGGCTAGGTTGCAGGTTGCGTTTCCATATACAATGGCCATACGTTGGGCTTCGTATTTCCAGTCCGCGTCCGAGTCTTGGATTATGCACAGGGAGTCTATCCAAAGGTACTTGTATCCTAATGCTAGCGTTACTCTCATTACCTCTTTGTACACATCTGAGGCTTCGAGCTTGTCGCGTGGCACCTCCTTTCGAAAGGCGTGGAGATTAGACTCCAGGAGACGGAGCTGTTGGGTGGAATTTTCACCCCACATGTAACTCAGAACGAGATAATCAAAGGGTTCGTTCTTGAGGTCGTCTCGCAGCCGAATCTTGCTTGTGGTGATCTCCAAAACTCTAGTGGGTCGCTGGTTCAAGTTCTGAACTGTTCGGGCCTGAAATTTACGACACTCTGTATGCTCTGTGAGACAGTATTGCAGCCATTGCTTGGCTTTTTGAATATTATCTGAAGCCCGAAGTGGCACCTGCTTGGCCATGATATGCCCATCAAATGCTGTGAGATTGCCATCTATATCCGGTTTGTTAGTTTCCCCCAAGAAATCGAGGTGGCAACAGCTTCTTGAGGCGAGCTTACTTTCATAAGTTCTTATTTTATATATTCCAATCTTGTTGAAGTCCTCCTCATTCTTGAGACTCCTTTTCCCCGGCTGGGGTACCAAAAAGTCAATCAGTCCCTGTGCAGGACGCAAATGAATGTAAACTTCTGTGTGATCAGCAGGTCTGGGTAGCCCAAGTTCAGCCCGATTTTGCAAATGAGAAATCAGCTTCTTGCAAAAGTGGCAGCGTTGCGCCGACTGAACCGACTGTGCAATTGTGCAAAAACGCAAGATGGGCCATGACGGTGATGGAGCGCCCTGCGCTCCCCCCTTGTGTTCTTGCAGCCAAGTCAAAGCGCCCCATTCGCGAAAGAACTTGCTACAACGCTCGCACAGATCATGCAAAGGCACCGAGGTGTTGGAAATTGGTCGCGTAGGATTAACAACAGGAGCTTTTTCTCGGGCTGCGTGGTGACGGAATCGAGATAGGAAAGAAGGCATGACGAAGCGGAAATAGATTAAGAAATAAGGAACAGCTTGGAAAGTACGTACATGATATACTTCCTCCTACCTGTTCCCGGCTTTTAAATGCCATGTTGGAGGTACAGAGGATGCGGAATTGGAACAGGTTGAGATGGGCGCTTGCGAAACGCCCAGCGAGCCGCTCATGCGGCACAGCAAAACCCACCACACATGGGCACACACAGCGCCTGAAGCTTCGTCGTATCAATTCAGAACCTCCCTGACTCGACTGGATGTGTGGAGAGTGGAACTATCGGGTGTGGGGTGTTTGATGTTGAGTAATAGAGGCAAGGTGCTGCAACTGCTAAAAGCGGCAAGGGCAACACCACAGCATGACATAAGCACAGTAGTCACATGATTCTACACATGCGAGAATATATGAGAGGCAATCTCTGCATGCACCAGAAGCCATAGACCTTTGTCATCCCGAATGTGTACATTGTTGAGGAAAGCTGAACAACAAAGTGATTTTCAGTTAAAACCAGGATGTATCAACAAGTTGTAGTCGTGAAAAGCAAGCAGTATGACACTTTGAAGAAAAGTGAGAATGGAATGTAATTATATCCAATTGAATATCTAAATACCATGAGCACAATACTGATGCTTCATCCAAATGTCATCTCATGATAGATATCTCGATGCTTCTAAGTCATACCCAATCTAATATAGTGACTCCCAACGCCAGAGATGCTGATGTAGCAAAAACTCTCAATCAAAAGACCTCCCCCAGATACCGTCAGATATTAGACAGTAAAACGCTAAACAAAGAGATGGTCATGTAAGAGTATCGTGATAGTGATGCGCAGGTATGTATATGACGCAGAAGGCCAAAGCGTACTGGGTCTGTGAGACGCTAAGATCCGTAGTGTAGAAGATCGTGCAGCCGAGATTAAATGCCGAGGGCGAGTGTGTAAGTATATACTACGGCGAAACCGCTAAGGCCAGCCTTACGTCCAATGACATAATGGAGCCGAATGCTACCGAATCAACGGTGAATGCAGGGCCCAAAGCCAGAGATGACTTCATAGTAGATGTTGAGGGGAGGATGCTTCAACACAGCAATTTGATAATGCTTCTCAAAGGATGCGGTGTCTAATAGTCATCGGTTAGCGGGATGTTGATCATACAAGAGTGGACTAACTTACTGCCTCATGACTGTTTCAAGGCTGATAGCACTGAGCTCGCAGTCATCAGGAAACTGGTCGACAAGTGCAAGAATGTCAGCGAACTTTTCGCCGCCTCTATATGCCAGGATTGCAGGTACACCAGCGTCCTCGATCTCTGCGTCGGAGTTGTCCATCTTGACAAAGCGGACAGTGTCATTGCGCTTTGCTACCTCGCGCATGGTGACTTCAAACAGCTTGGAAACTTGAGCGCTTGGCTGTGATAATGTTAGCATCTGATCAAAGTAAACAAAGACTGAAGTGTGCATACGTCGGTGTTGTAGATGAAGACGACAACTGTTGTAGCCGAGGCGGTCTTGTCGACGGCATCAAGGTACCCCTCACCATCAACTAGCGGCATGGTACCGTATACACGACGGCTAGGGCTATTTGTCCTTGACCGCATCTTCTCGCCGACATTCTGCAGCTCCTTGAGCCTGGCCTCACGCCATTGGCGCATAAAGCCCTCGTCAGTATCTTCATCGCTCGAGGCCTTGTCGTCATGGTAGGCGGAGACGGTGTAGGATGTAGGCGGGGAGTTCTTCTTCCAGGTAAAGCGTCTTGCTTGCTTCTTGGCCTGCTCAAAGGCCTGGGCATCGGCAATGACACCCTTGGGGCCCGTGTTGGCCTCTGAGCGGCGGTTGGGCATGTAGTAGTTGGCGCGCATGTCGGCGGGAATGTCGAGTTCGTCGTCGGTGTCAATCTTCTCGAGGTAGTCGGCGGCAGCACCAGGGGACTCTGGTTCGGAGACGTCGCTGTCGTCGTGGCGGTCTTCAGGATGTCTGTCGTCGTGGTCCTTGTCACGAAGAAGCTCGTTGAATTCGTCTTGAGCGGCTGAGGTGGACGGATTCATGGCGAAAAAAAGAAGCGGAGCGGAGACGGTGGGAACGGGGAGGTTATATGTGTGGAGAGGTGCCGGGTGACGCGTTGATGGTGAAAAAAAGGAAGGGGTATGTGTGCAAGGTTGCTGGGAGTCTGTTTGGGGAGTCTGGGATGGAGGAGCGCCGGTGACAGGCCTGGCGGGGTTATTTTCGAAGCGGTAGCGTGGGTTTCAGGGCAGTGATTGGCTGGTGGGGGGAGAGGGGGCAGTGAGGATGCAGGGCCAGGGCTGGAGGAGTGTAGGACTCGGACGCTTGGGAGGTGGTGTTTAGGGCTGGGAAGGGCTGGTAAGGGCTGGTAAGGGCTGGTAAGGGCTGATGCTGACCAGAGGGCCACGCGACGCTCGAGGGCGACTCCCCACTCGGCCGACATAGGGGCCGCCTGTGAGCAGAGCGCCCGCATCTCTCGAAACGGCCCTCGAGGGTCGAAACGTGCTCTCGTGCTTACTCGCCCAATTGGCTGCTTGCCGGTGGCGCTCGCTGGCCCACAGCATACGCAGCATGTCCAAGGCTGAAACATGGGACCGAGCCATCTGCTACTCCTCCTTCGGCGCCTTGTTTCCGTATAGACAAGATCAGACAGACGTCACCTGTAGCCTCTGCCTCGCTGCTCTTGTAACGCCTCGAGTCGTCTCAGCTGCACAGGGGAGGCCAAGCGGGGGGGTCATGGAACGGGACAGTTTTGGCCTTTACCACCCCCAAAGGGCTGACGAGAGAGAAAGAGAGAAATGGTATAGGCAGGGAGATTTGCTTACCATGCTCACTTCCTTACGTGCTCCTTCACGCCCTCACTCGGGGAATGATCGACTTGCTATTACCGGGGTGGAGCGCTGTACCCCTGATGTGTGAGGGTGTGGGTATGTGTGTGTGTGTGGGGCCCTCCGGCAATGCACAACTTCGACTGACCTTCTAGAAGCATGAAGCTGGTGCTTGTTTATCCTCCGCCTCTTGCGCACATGGCAGGTGCTCTCCGATAGCCGTCAATGCCTGGCAGCCGTTTATGCCTTATACCACGGGTATGCAAGCTCGTCCTGGATCCCATCATCTCCCAAAACTCCATGATGCATTGCCCTGCCCAACGCTACAATGTGCCATCCTGGTTCCTGCCTGGCGAGGGGTCACGCGTCTCCTGGTCTTTTCTCAACGCTTGTGTGCACACTTTAACTTCGTCATGACAAGGCTACAGGTGCTTCTAGTACTTACCTACCCCCCATTAGCGCCACCATATGCACGACTCTACTAGGACCCTGGAGCTGTTCCATCCCTCGGCGCTGTGTAAGTACTGTTTAGCGGTGTGACATTCGGCTGGCCCATGTCCCGGGGACAACCTGGTTCCATCTTTGGGCTGTGCGCCAGTCACGAGTGCGAGCACTGCCCATCACGCATATCCCAGGCACGGCACTCGTCTCCTATGGCTCTATGGCTCAATGCCTCAACAATGCATCTCTCCCCACGGCCACCGCACAGCTCAACGCCATAACAACACCTCATCAGCGTAAAATGAAGTACATGAAAAACTCGCTAAAAACTACCTATCCCGCCTTGGCTCCTGCCATGTCCTCTTCCCTCTGACCAGCAAAATCGTACACATTCAAATCCCATGCACTAGACAGCCATGATACATCGCTTCTTCACTGCCCCATCAATGGAAAAATTACAGACCCATTGCATGCAGACCAAAATGCAAAACATACCACTACTCCCCCTCTCCGTCTTGCACGCCAACCCTCTCTTTCTCCCTCTCTCTCCTTCTCCCTGTCCCACCTCACCTCTTCCCACCAAACTGCAACAACCCGTCGCTTTTTTTTAGACATTGGACAGAACGCAACGAGAATACACGGTCGAACGAAGATTCAAGGCACACTACGTCTTGCTCATCTACGCCCGACCGCCTGCCCGGACATCAACAGACAAGTGCGACGCAAGTGCTTGCCTTGCCCAAGAAACTGGCACACCAAAGGTATGGAAAAGGGAACGTAGAAAGAAAAAGTATATGAAACAATTGAAGCACACACAAAGGAAAAACCTCTCCGGGCGCCTAAACACCACGTGACAGGAGAGCCGCGTCAGTGTTTCCAAGGGTTGCTGTGTATTATAATCTTAGAAGTAGGGTAGCTCTCAGAAGACTCCTGGCTAAGTAAGATGCAACAAGGGGGTATGGGTATGCCAGGAGTTTGCAACGATTGCCGTCATCGATTGTAGGTTGCCAATATTAGAAAGAATAGGCGCACATGTCCGGTTGGCGCCGTTACATGGCGTCGTGGGTATTTGATCGTCATGGTGCGCTTACGCCCAGATGCGCAGCTATTCCGAGTTAGTCGTTTCATCAGCCAACAGCACACACACAACAAAACTTACCATGGAGTCCCATGAACCAGTGCAGAGACTGAGTGCATCGTTGCTGACGCCCAGACAGCTGACACGGTTGTCGTGTCCTTGCAATGTGCCTACACGCTCGCCGCGCAATACGTCCCATACCTGACAAGTTGGTTAGCATGCGGACAAACAAAAACAAAAAAGATCAGCATTGCCCATACCTTGCACTCAAAGTCATCGTAACCAGCAAATAGCAGACGACCAGAAACGGAAAAGGCCACAGATGTGATGCCGCAAACGGGCTCGGGAATCTACCAAGGATGCGCATTAGTAATCAATATACAAAACAATTCTGATCATGTCACATGGGCGCGTACCTGGTATGAGGCTAGCTCGCGGTCGGCACGGATATCAAACAGGCGACACGAGGCATCGTCGGAGCCGGTACCAAAAGCGTTGCCGTTGGGAAAAAACTGAATGGCGTTGATATCGGAGTCGTGCGCAGCAAACGTCTGCACACACTTCTGCTGTCGGATATCCCAGAGCTTGGCAAAAGCATCACAAGCACCAGAGACGAATTGGTTGTGGTCGAGCGGGTTGATGCTCAAGCTCATAACGTCGCCAAGATGATCGGCAAACTCGTGTACCTTTGAACCGGTCTCGAGATCCCAGAGCACGCACGTCATGTCGCCCGAGGATGTGAGGATGCGCTTGTCGCTGATGAATCGGCAGCAGCTGAGGTATCCAGAGTGGCCAGACAGTTCGCGTGCCACGCGTGTCGGACCTTCCCTTGCCGACAGGTTGTAGATGGAGCAGATGTTGTCGAGACCACCACAGGCAACGTAGTTGCCCGAGGGCGAGTAGGCACAGGTCATGACCCACGAGGAGCGGAGGGGAATGGCGTGGACCTTGTTTGTTGTGTATGCATCCCAGATGATGAGCTTACCATCCTGCGAGGCCGAGACGAGATGGCGGCGGTCGGTGGACCAGTGCATGGCGTAGATTTTGGCGAGATGGCCCTTGAGGGTGCGCTTTGTCTTCATGGTGAGGCGCGGCAGGGCCTCGACGCGATCTCTGGCAACATCGCGGACTGGAGCAGCGTGTTAGCAGTGGACATGGCAGGCGTTGGGATGCAGCGACGGGCATTGACAGGCGCGGATCACGTACGGGTTGTGTCAGCGAGCTCATCCTTCTTGCGCTTTATCCGGTCCTTGAGCGCCTCAGCGTCGCGCCGAGCAAGCTGGATCTTCTGTTGTATGGTTTCCTGGTTCATGTCGGCCATGGGAGCAGGCGTTGAGGGCGGATCAGGTCAAGAGGGCAGGAGGCGCGAAAAGGCGAGACGGGCGGATCCAGGGGCCTGCAAGGAGCGCGGTGGAGACGGGCGGGTGAGGCGGCAGACGAGGAAGCGATGGACAAGTGGCAGCAGCAATAGCAACAGCAACAGCAGCGGAAGAGGGCGCGCAGAGCGAAGTCAATTGCTGGCGCGGAGACTCAGCGGCAAGCAGACAGGCGGTCGTGGGGGTGCGTGAGGATGGAAGGGATGCGAGGGCTTTGGAGATGGGCGAGGTTACAGGAGCGGCCCGGGGGTGAGCTCAAGCTTGGCTTAGCCGAGAACGCCAGCCAGCGCTGAAGATCAAAGGCCGTTCGTCGCGGTTGGCTGGTGGGCAAGGGTGCGCCGCACGGCAGTATTGCGGGCGAACGGCAGCAGCGCTGAGGGGCAGAGCAGATTGCCGAAGCAGCGGGGGATGTGTAGTACGTACGTATGTAGAGCAAGATTATCTGAGTATGTGTATATATCGGGGGTGCAGCGAGCGATAGGGGAGTCGTCTGTGTGAGCAGGCGGGCGAGGGAGTGGGAGCGGGCCTTTTCTGCCCCGTCGAGCCTGGGACGCGGCATCGTCCCTCTCTGGTGCGCACACGCTTGACCTTGACCAACAAGGCGCGCCTGCTGCAATCTCCTGCAGCGCGCCTCCTCTTTGCGGCCTGCCCGTCCTCTGGGCCAATGAGCTCCGAGCTGCCTGTTTTGGCTTGCGACCCGCCTGTCCAAGACCACTCGTTAATTGATTCCACCCTCTGCTTCGAGAAAACCTCTGAAGCGCCACCAGATCTTTGCACCGCCTGACTCCCTGCCTGTCTGCCTGACTGCTACTCACTATCTGCTTACCACTTGCCCTGACACTCCCCCATGTCTGTGCCCGTCCTGCCCGCCCTGCCCGTCCATGCCGCCTTCACAAAGCGGCTGCCCAAGATCGAGGTATGCCCACAATGCCCTACTCTAGCCCCCCCTGATTCGGCAGCCAGGCCGCCAAGCCACGTTAGACTCTGGTTCATAGCGCCACTAACGCCACGACTCAGCTCCACGCTCATCTTACCGGTAGCATCAGCCGCGAGTGTCTGCACGACATCTGGACCGCCAGCAAGGCTCAGCGTCCAGATTTCGATGTGCAAGATCCTCTTGTCGCCATTCCGCCTGGCAAGGTCGACTATGACATCAAAACGTCAGCCTCGCTTCCATCGGCTAGGGGCTGGTCAGACGCTAGCACGCAGCTAACCGGGCCGCTAGATTCTTCCCCTTGTTTTCCTCCTACATCTACCGTCTTTGCAGTGACCTGCCCAGCATCGAGTATGTGTCTTTTGTCGCACACCGGCCTGGGTATTGA